TTAGAAAAAACCAACGTTTTTTTCCCAAACCGGGTGGGGAATTTTGGGAAAGATATTGCAGCAAAATAGCCCCTTTAAATTTGGAATACCTCTACAGGGAAACGGGTGGGTCATACGGGCGGGACCGCCCAGAAAGGTCTGCCTGTACGTAACATGACCGGGGCCCCCCCAACAAAAAAAAATATCTTTATGTTTTGGAAAAAGATGCGGCGTAGCCCAAAGTTGGGGTAACGGGGAGGACTAAGGGTGAGGTGTATCAAAAATTTTTGTAAAAGCCGGGAAAGCACTAAGGGAGTCTGAGACAAACCCCAAATGATTACCCCGGATAGGGTGCAATACGGGTAAGGGGCTATAAGGAAGGCTTTTTAAATTTAGCAGTTTTAAAAAAACTAGCCGAAGAATAAAAATAAATGCCCCCTTTTTACGAAAGGGTGTCCGGGGAAAAACCCCTGCGAATTTTCCCCTTTAGAAGACTTAAGCCATCTGTGTACAAAAGCCCAAAGGCATGAGAATTTAAAGTGAAAGGGGTCAAGAAAAAAAGAGCGGGGAAGCCCACCTTTTGACAGTTTTGGGGTTTCGAGCAAGGGGGAGAGAGAAAGAACTGACTCGAACGCGGGAAAAATTCCCCGGGGGGGTAGGGAAAAGTGAGATGTACATGTACCCCTAGGAAAAAGGGGGTAATTGAAGAGGGAAAACAAGAGCGAATGAAGGCCCAAGAGGGGGGAAAAGGGGCGGGGTTTAAAAAGGGGGGGGGGGAACAAATAAAGAATGTCCCCTAATTTCAGTGAAACCCTTCCCATAAAAAAAGGAAAAGGGTTGCGGGAGATCATGAGAGCGTACATAAGGGGGGGAAAGGGAATGGGGAACACGGCGATCTGATTTGGGGTGGAAAAGTTCGCTTTTTGAATTTGAGGCCTGGGCAGGGGGAGCGAAAAAACACCAAAAGGGGTTTAAAAGTAATTTTCTGGTGGGGAAAAGGGGTTAAGGCCCAGAGAGAGTAGCAGGAGATGCCCCTTGAATAGATCTGGGGCACCATAATCAAGTTTCGATAAGATTAAGGGGGGGAAAAGTAGGCCCAAGGAGGGGTTTGAAAGATCACTCCCCATGAAAGAAAGCAAGGGTTTTTAAAAAGGTTTTCAGCCGGGGGGTTTAAAAAGTTGCCCTTTAGGGGAGGGAAGTGAGGGGTTTTCCCGGGGTAAATACGTTTAAAGAGGAGGCCCAGAACTTGACCCGTTTTCACTTTTAGGGGGGAGGGGGCCATGGGGTACAAAGGGTGATCGGAATGACAAAGCTTTAGGAAATTTAAATTTTTTTAGTTTTGGGGACTGGAAAATTTTAAAACCCCCGTGGGGGGGCCCAATTTTGGGAAAAAAAGGTTTGACTGCTGCTGGAGAGAAACTGTAATAAGGGGACAGGTTACGCCTGCACAGGGGGGGAAAAAAAGCGGAAATCATCAACATAAGTGATGCCAAAAATTTGGGTGGGGAAAACTAGAGGTCAAATCATTAATAGCAAGGGGGAAAAAAGGGGTTTTGCTCAGAACCCATCCCGGGGGGGGACCTTCACTTGGATAAAGCCCGGGGGAGAGCACATTAAAACCCAAAAACGGAAATGCCGTCAGTTTAAAAAATTTTTTTAAGGAAAGGGTTTTGGGAAAATTGCCTCGAAAGGGCCCAGGGGGTGGGCTTTGGGGTAAAAATTAATTTTACCTCCAAGTTGTGGTCATAGCCTTCTCAAGGTCAAAAAATATGGCAATAACTGAGTGGTTATTCACAAAGGCATTACGAACATACGTATCCAAGCGTAGTAAGGGGTCTATGGTAGAACGTCCCTTACGAAAGCCATATTGACGAGTGGAGAGACTGTTGTGTGTCTCTAAATACCACACTAAACGTCTATTTACAGGCGTTCCATCACTTTGCAAACTGCACTGGTAAGAGCAATGGGACGATAGTGGAGGTTTCATGTCCCGTAGTGCCTGGTTTGCGGAAAGGGAGAACAATGGCGGATTTTCCACAGCTGTGGAAGAACTCCTTGTGACCAAATAAGATTGTAAAGGCGTATAATAGGACTGCAAGGGCTGACTGATGTAAATGTTGTAGCATACGAATATGAATGTCGTCGGGGCCCAGCTGCGATGATCTGCAAGCTGAGAGTGTTGCCTCCAGTTCTTGAAGTGTAAAAGGCACATTATACTGTTCTTCTCTGAGAGAAGAAAAGTCCAAGGGTGCTAACTCTCTGGCAACTTTGAGGAAAGAAATGAGGGGCATAGATGGCGTCCCTGAGAAATACGGACAGATGATTGCCAATTTCATTGGCAACATCTAGTGGGTTTGCTATATCAACACCGGCAACCCGCAGAACAGGAGCCGGGTCAGGAGAATATTTACCACTCAGTTTTCGTACTTTTTTTCCAGACTGCACTCATAGAGGAAGCAGAGGTGATGGTGGAGACATAATCTCACCAGCAAGTGCATTAGCGTCACGGATGACACGGCAGCGATCGCACGCTTCTGCTTAAAATCAAGAAGTCTCTCTGTGGTTCTATTGTACCGGTACCTGCCCCATGCAGCGCGTTTCAAACGTACTGCACGAGCGCAAGCAGAAGACCACCAAGGCACGCATTTCTGAGAATGCCTGCCCGAAGTTTGGGGTATAGAATGAGAAGCTGCGGTTTAAAACTGAGGACGAGAAGAGGTGTAAAAGCTCATCGATGAGAGAAGAAGGAACCTCTCTAAAAACAGTTAGGTGTGAGTAAAGGTTCCAATTTGCCTGATCAAATTGCCAGCGTGGGATGCGAAGAGGTGGTGAATATGAAGGGGAAGTAAGAATGATTGGGAAATGATCGCTGTCATGTAAGTCCGAAAGAACAGACCAAGTGAAGTCTAATGCGGCAGAGGAAGAGCAGACTGAGAGATCGATGCAAGAGAGAGTGTGAGTCCGAGGATCAAAATAGGTGGTGAGTAACCTGTATTTAAAACATGGAGTGGGTGGGTGGCAAGAAAAGCCTCTAACTGAATGCCACGGGAATCACAGTGAGCCCCCCCCCCCCCAGAGGAAATGGTGGGCATTAAAATCACCAAGTAACAGAATCGGTGGTGGTAATGACGAAACAAGAAAGGCAATATCCGGAATAGATAATGCCCAAGGAGAGAGATATAAAGAACAGAGCATATACCACCTATGCAAGTGGATACGGGCTGCTGTGTAATGCAGCAAAGTACGAACAAATAGCTGATGGTATGGAATATCAGTGCGTAGAAGAAGGGCACTTTCATTAAAGGTCCCATCAGGAAAAGGATCTGAAGAATACAATAAATTATAGCCTGAGATGGGAGAGATAACAGCAGAGTGTAATTTTGGTTCCTGTAAGCAAACACCAACAGGGGAAAACTGGGAGAGTAACATCTGAAGCTCACCCCGATTACCCCTGAGGCTGCGTATATTCCACTGTAAATAGGCCATGATTGGCAATGATAAAGATACTTGAAATCCGCAGGTAAGGGTTCCTACGGACTAGAGGGGTTAGAAAAGTCCACATGCGGAGGCAGTGGAAAACGTTCAAGCATTGAAGGAACGGTGAGCTGTGAAGAAAGGGGTTGTGCAGATGGAGTAGAGGAGAGAGAAGGAGCGGAGGGTGGATCAGTGTCCATTGATGGTTTGGTCTCTGCAATATATTCAGAGATTGCTTCAAGTGTTTCAGAATTCAGAGACATCGTATGGGAGACAATATTGGAAATGGTAGGGGGAGGATGAGTAAAGATTGGAACTGTAATGGACTGTACCAAGGTAGGGGATGAAGGGTGGAGGGAACTGAGAGCGTGGAGGGACAGAAGAGGCAGAAACCTGGGAGGTGGCAGAAGAGGAAGAAACTTGGGAGGGAACAGGGGAGGAAGGTACAGTACGAGGAGGAGGGTGAACCTCTACACTTGTAACAGAGCCAGTGAGAGGGGGAGAACCAGGTACAGAGACGGGAAGGAAAAATGAGGAGGTGGAAGATGGGTAGGAGGTGTTAACGGACCTTTTTTTGACTTTTGAGAAGTAGAGGGACAATTGGGAGGAGGTGTCGTACGAGATCTCGTCGCTACTGAGGCTTGTGAGAGAGAACACGAAGAAGCAAGATCAGACTGAGACGCTGAAGTAGGGACGTCTGAGCCGAGGACAGCAAAAGAATTAGCTACAGGAGTGACTATGGGAGAGGTAACCACAGAGGTGGGTGCAGAAGATGGTTACCAGAAGTGGGGGACGTTTTGAAACACTGGAATAAGAAACACGAGGTAGTCTCCCTTGGAGGCGGAGATGAGAAACTGCCATGGCATAAGGGAGACCTTCTGCCTCTTTGAGGTAACGGATTTACCGCTCGTTTAAGTAGACTTGACAACGGCGAGAGTACGAAGGGTGAGCTTCATGACAATTAAGGCAAGAGGGAGGTCGATTGCAAGACGTATTAGAATGGTCATCGGCATCACAGACTGGGCATTCGGCGATAGATCTGCAATATTTCGCTGGATGGCCAAATCGCCAGCAATTTCTACACTGTTGCGGTGTAGGGATCACCTTTCGAACTTGTAACCGATGTCCTGCTACATAAACTGAGGATGGGAGTTTCACGGCTGTCAAAAGTTAAACGAGCCACATTGCTAGGGTATCGTCTCTGCCCGCGGGCAGAAGAAGAAGTGTGTCTACCTTGAGGATTGGGAGATCTTGGAGTTCCAGCTGTTCAAGAATGTCAGTGCCACATGTCTGGGAAATTTGTTGAACTATGGTATGGGCAGAATGATGGTACCACTACAAGAATTGAGGGAATGATGCTTTTCAATAGTTACAGGAACAGTATCGATATGGGAAAGACGAGAAAGCTCATGAGCCTGGGTAGCATTCTGTACGGTGACGATGCCGTACCGCTCTTAAGAGCATGAAAAGAAATATCTTTACCACATGGCGTAGGAGTGCCTTGCCAATACTGTGGTCAGAAAGATAGGCAGTTAGAGGAAAGTCGGTCGTAAAGTGAAGATTTAGTCCATTGTGCAGTCTGAAACTGAGCGTGGAAAGGTAGTGAAGGACGTGTCGATCTTTTCTGAGAAGAATGAGAAGGTGGAGAAGTATCATCAGCAGGTAATTGTCGTTGTCGTTTAGGCGTGGGACCAGAGTTGGTTCGACGTGGAACGGGCCGGCGATTCGAAAATTGCCGCACCGTAGAGGGAGAGGCCGGAAGCATAGTCAGAGGAGAGCGAAGGTTCGATAAATCGAAGGAGTCAGTCGAGGCCTCAGTACCTGAAGCGGGTGAGGAAACAGCACCGGCAAGAGGTACAGAGGCATGAGGAGTGTCTGAAGAGTGGTCCAAAGACGAGGCGGGGTCAGAACGGGGTGCAGTATCAAGAAGGGGCCCGGGGGTAGCAGGTTCATGGACTAGGGCTGCCATGGTTAGGTTACTTCTTTCTTTTTGTTTTTAAGAAAAAAAAGAAAGAAAGAAAATAAAAATAAAAAAAAGAAAAAAAAGAGGGGACCAGGGAGGGATAGTTCCTAGGAGGAATGAAAGGGCCAGAAATCTCCCTCCGCGCCCAAGAGGACCTCAGCACCGCAAGTAGTGCAGATGCAGCATGGAACCCGTGCCATACCCTACCCATCATGCCAGTAAACCGGCAATCCGGGATAGCAACCTCACATCTGCCAAGCTACCTCGGTGGACAAAAGAGAGGGCGGCCGGAAATCCACCACAAAGCATACCTCCTTCGGCCACCACCCCCGGAATCCGAAAGGTGGCTTCCAGAGATACACCCGTCGCCCGAGAGACACCCAAAGCCACCCTCCGGGATACCGGAGAGGGATCAGGACATCCCCAGGCAATCCAGATTCCACGGCAAACTACGCCACCGCCAAGAACCTCAACAGAATGGGATGGACCCCGGTACCCTTTCCCCTACCTAGGAACTAGCGTGCCTGTGGGAAAAACAAAGGGCAAAAGGGAGGGGTGGGGAGGAGGAGGAGGAAAGGAAAAAGGGGAGGATGGGATAGGGAACGGGGGATTGGGGGGTAATTAGGTTCGGTCTGAGGAAGTAGACCGACAGGTCTAATTCCTCAGACCAAGAGCCTCTTCACCACACCAAGGAGCCCCCCTTGAAGAGGCAAAATTTGACTAGCTCTTAAGTTTTTATGAAAAATACTCTTCAAACCTATACACTGACAAACTATTCAGTAACTATGTCCCTAAAAATGTTGGCACGTGTCTCAGAAGGATGTGTGTATGATTAAAGTACAGTATTCTACAATAATGTATTCCAAAACTGTTTGTCAGGAGACCACAGGAGTATCCTGTAGCAGTCCAAGAACCTACATGTAATAATCATGTAATGAGATTAGTAAGTTTAATCAATTAATAAAATGCTAAACCCAAACAACCTACACATAATACTGACACTGATAAAACAATTATTATTTATCTCCTCTAATAACTACCCACCATCAGTAATGAAAATAAAATATATAACATTTACAAGTAAAGTAGCATATATAACAATGATACCAACATCCCATGGATATGTTACATCTAGTGTATTTATACTTTTATTTATAAGTCCTGTGGATATATTAGACAACAGGAAGAAGAGCAGAGGTTTGTGGTTAATGGCCAGAAAGGTAAGAGGCACTGATGGCATCCCAGGAAGTAACTGCTTGAGTCTTTCCTCAACCAGTGAGAAGAGCGTCAGCACAATCATTGTAAAGAATATCTGAAAAATGAAAGTCTCTTTTACCTATATGTAAATATGAAGTTTTATCACAATATAATATAGATAAAAGGTAAAAAAACTTAGTGTTACATTTACCATTTAGCTGGTGTTACAGTGAGGTTACAGGAGTCTCTACAAGATGACACAGGATGCTTTATTTCACCATTATTTTCCACATGGGATTAAATGCAAAACAACCACTGAAAAAATAGTGAACATTCAAGCACTTTCATGATTTCTCACATTATCAAGGACACATGACCTTAATAATGTGAGAAATAAAAATTCATGGATGTTCACTACTTTTCACAGTGGTTGTTTTGCACATTGTGATATCACCTGCATACTGTGATCATTTGCATGGGATTAAATCTTTAATTACAACATTCAGATTTTGCATACAATGGACATATGACTGCCCTGGGCAATACTGATGCATTTTTGCGAGAATACTTACAACTAGTGCAACAAAAGTAGGATTCCCCAGTCTCCTTGATGGCAAGTCTACAAAGAAGTGGAGACCAGCCAGACACACCCCACTCCAGGCAGTCAGGATGAAAAGCGGAAATGACAATTTTGTGTTGACACTCCTGTTAGTGATAAAACGAAGGTTTGTAGACAAGTGCAAATGCTGGAAAAGTAAAGATAAGTGAGAATTGTTTTGCAAAGTGCCTTTGTAATATTTGAAAATTTCCTTATAAATATTGTGTGAACTACTAGACACACATTTAAGATTGCTTCTATATTTTAGCCATCTACAGACTACAAATTCAGAACTGATATAAGCTATGTACATTACTGCCTTGCATGTAAAATACTCTACAAATTATTCAGTTTTGCTGAAGATCTAAATAGACTTGGACAACGAAATATGGATCCCAGGTTACAACCTATACAGATGCGACAGAGTGAACAGGCAAAAGGGGGGGGGGGGGGGGGGTTGGCCTGTACATCGCAGAGTCACTTGTTTGCACAGAACTGCTTAATGCCTCAAATGATGTAGTGGAAGTTTTAGCAGTAAAGATCAAGAACCAAAACCTAGTCATTGTGGTAGTCTACAAGCCTCCGGATGCAACGTCCCAGCAATTCCAGGAACAGCTGTTAAAAATTGACCACTGTCTGGAAAATCTGCCAGCTCCTGCCCCCAACATCTTGCTCCTGGGGGATTTCAATTTGAGGCACCTAAAATGGAGGAATATAGCAAATAATGTTGTTGCAGTGATAACACCAGGAGGCAGCTCTGACTAGAACTCACACTCGCACGAGCTTTTAAATCTCTGCACAAAATTCAATTTAAACCAGCAGATAATAGAGCCTACTAGACTGGATAATACACTAGACCTCATCTTCACTAACAATGATGATCTGATAAGAAATGTCACCATATCAAAAACAATATACTCAGATCACAACATAATCGAGGTTCAGACATGTATGTGCGGAGCCCCAGACCGACATAATGAGATTAGTCACGAGGGAGCATTCACCAAATTCAACTTCAATAACAAAAACATAAAGTGGGACCAAGTAAACCAAGTCCTAACTGATATAAGCTGGGAAGATAGACTAAGCAACACAGACCCCAACTTATGCCTAGAACAGATTAACTCGGTGGAACTCGATGTATGCACAAGGCTTATTCCTCTAAGAAAAAGGAGGAGTGGATGTAAAATATAAAGAGACAGGCTTCCCTTATAAGGCGAGTGGATAAAATAAAGAGGCTAAAAGGGCTCTTTACAGGCGTCGGGAGTCACTGGTCAGAGAAATAGCAAACATCGAACTTAAGCTAAAGGAATCTTATAGGAGTCAGGAATCGCGGGAAGAACTAAAAGCCATAAATGAAATCGAAAGAAACCCAAAGTATTTCTTTTCTTACGCCAAATCAAAGTCGAGAACAACGTCCAGTATTGGGCCCCTACTTAAACAAGATGGGTCCTACACAGATGACAGCAAGGAAATGAGTGAGCTACTCAAGTCCCAATATGACTCAGTTTTTAGCAAGCCGCTAACCAGACTGAGAGTCGAAGATTAAAATTAATTTTTTATGAGAGAGCCACAGAATTTGGTTAACACAAGCCTATCTGATGTTATCCCGATGCCAAATGACTTCGAACAGGCGATAAATGACATGCTCATACACTCTGCCCCAGGGCCAGACTCATGGAACTCCGTGTTCATCAAGAACTGCCCCTATGACGAGCTTTTACCATCCTATGGAGAGGGAGCATGGACACGGGGGTCGTCCCACAGTTACTAAAAACAACAGACATAGCCCCACTCCACAAAGGGGGCAATAAAGCAATAGCAAAGAACTACAGACCGATAGCATTAACATCCCATATCATAAAAATCTTTGAAAGGGTCCTAAGAAGCAAGATCGCCACCCATCTAGAAACCCATCAATTACACAACCCAGGGCAACATGGGTTTAGAACAGGTCGCTCCTGTCTGTCTCAACTATTGGATCACTACACTAAGGTCCTAGATGCACTAGAAGACAAAAAGAATGCAGATGTAATATATAGACTTTGCAAAAGCCTTCGACAAGTGTGACCATGGCGTAATAGCGCACAAAATGCGTGCTAAAGGAATAACAAGAAAAGTTGGTAGATGGATCTATAATTTCCTCACAAACAGAACACAAAGAGTAGTAGTCAACGGAGTAAAGTCCGAGGCAGCTACGGTGAAAAGCTCTGTTCCACAAGGCACAGTACTCGCTCCCATCTTGTTTCTCATCCTCATATCTGACATAGGCAAGGATGTCAGCCACAGCACCGTGTCTTCCTTTGCAGATGACACCCGAATCTGCATGACAGTGTCTTCCATTGCAGACACTGCAAGGCTCCAGGCGGACATCAACCAAATCTTTCAGTGGGCTGCAGAAAACAATATGAAGTTCAACGATGAGAAATTTCAATTACTCAGATATGGTAAACATGAGGAAATTAAAACTTCATCAGAGTACAAAACAAATTCTGGCTACAAAATAGAGCGAAACACCAACGTCAAAGACCTGGAAGTGATCATGTCGGAGGATCTCACCTTCAAGGACCATAACATTGTATCAATCGCAGCTGCTAGAAAAATGACAGGAAGGAAAATGAGAACCTTCAAAACTAGGGATGCCAAGCCCATGATGATACTCTTCAAGTCACTTGTTCTATCTAGGCTGGAATATTGCTGCACACTAACAGCACCTTTCAAGGCAGGTAAAATTGCTGACCTAGAAAATGTACAGAGAACCTTCATGGCACGCATAATGGAGATAAAACTTCAATTACTGGGAGCGCTTGAAGTTCCTGAACCTGTATTCCCTGGAACGCAGGCGGGAGAGATGCATGATTATATACACCTTGAAAATCCTAGAGGGACTAGTACCGAACTTGCACACGAAAATCACTCACAACGAAAGCAAAAGACTTAGCAGACGATGCAACATCCCCCCAATGAAAAGCAGGGGTGTCACTAGCACGTTAAGAGACCATACAATAAGTGTTAGGGGCCCGAGACTGTTCAACTGCCTCCCAGCATACATAAGGGGGATTACCAATAATCCCTGGCAGTCTTCAAGCTGGCACTGGACAAGCACCTAAAGTCGGTACCTGACCAGCCGGGCTGTGGCTCGTACGTTGGTTTGCGTGGAGCCAGCAGTAACAGCCTAGTTGATCAGGCTCTGATCCACCAGGAGGCCTGGTCACAGACCGGGCCGCAGGGGCGTTGACCCCTGGAACTCTCTCCATCTAAACTCCAGACAAAAACAAAAGCATATAAACTTTTGGGTTGATCTTGCTTATCAATAATTGACAAAGAATGGACAAGCTGAAATGAGAAATGTTTCACTAGTTAAGCCTCTTCAAGGGGGGCTCCTTGGCGTTGTGAAGAGGCTCTTGGTCTGAGGAATTAGACCTGTCGGTCTTCTTCCTCAGACCGAACCTAATTACCCCCCAATCTCCCCTCCCCTGTCCCATCCTCCCCTTCCTCTTCCTCCTCCCCACCCCTCCCTTTTGCCCTTCCTCTTTTTGGCCTTTGGGATTTCTCCCACAGGCGCGCTAGTTCCTAGGTAGGGGAAAGGATACCGGGGTCCATCCCATTCCGTTGAGGTTCTTGGTGGCGGCGTAGTTTGCCGTGGAATCTGGATCGCCTGGAGATGTCCTGATCCCTCTCCGGTATCCCGGAGTAGCTTTGGGTGTCTTTCGGGTGACGGGTGTATCTCTGGAAGCCACCTTTCGGATTCCGGGGGTGGTGGCCGAAGGAGGTATGCTGTGTGGTGGATATCCGGCCGCCCTCTCTTTTGTCTACCGAGGTAGCTCAGCAGATGTGAGGTTGCTATCCCGGATTGCTGGTTTACTGGCATGAAGGGTAGGGAATGGCACGGGTTCCATGCTGCATCTGCGCTACTAGCGGTGCTGAGGTCCTCTTGGGCGCGGAGGGAGATTTCCAGCCCTTTCATTCCTCCTGGGAACTATTCCTCCCCGCTCCCCCCTTTTTTTATTCTTTTTATTTTTATTTTCTTTTCTTCTTTCTTTTTTTTTCTTAAAAACAAAAAGCAAAGGAGTAACCTAACCATGGAGAACCCAATCCATGAACCCACTACCCCCGGGCCCCTTCTTGATACCGCACCCCATTCTGACCCTGCCTTGTTTTTAGACCACTCTTCGGACACTCCTGATGCCCCTGTACCTCTTGCTGGTGCTGTTTCCTCACCCGCTTCAGGTACCGGGGCTTCAACTGACTCGTACAACACCTAATACCAATCGCCCCTCTACTTCACAGAAGTCCAAAAAAATCCACATTGCTCAAATCTTCTTTGCCCCTTCCTTCCCTTCTTCCACCTCCACACTTTACCTTTCCAGTTTTTGTGACTAGTTCTTCCCCTCTCTCTGGCTCTATTACAAGTGTGGAGATTCACCCTCCTCCTCGTATTATGCCTTCCACCCCCGTCCCCTCCCAAGTTTCTCCCTCTTCTGCCACCTCCCAGGTTTCTGCCTCTTCTGTCCCCCCCCACACTTCATCTCCAGTCCCTTACACTCTTTCCTCCCCCTCTACTTTGGTACAGTCCATTACTGTCCCAATCTTTACTCACCCTCCCCCTTCTATCTCCAATATGGTCTCCCATACATTTTCAGAATATATTGCAGAGACTAAACCTTCAATGGACACTGATTCACTTCCTGTTCCTTCCTCCCTCGTCCTCCATCTTCACAACCCCTTCTTCGCACCCCGTATTCCTTCGCTGCTTGAACTCTTCAATGCCACCACACATTTAACTTTTCTACCCCTCCTGTCCTAGTGCCTTTCCCTAATGGCATTCCTGTATTTTCTTCATCGCCAATCATGGCCTATTACAGTGGAATATCCCGCGGCCTCAGGGGTAATCGGGGTGAGCTTCAGATGTTTGCTTTCCAGTTTTCCCCCTGTTGGTGCTTGCTTACAAGAACCAAATTACACTCGTGCCTGTTTTCCAACCTATCTCAGGCTATAATATTGTATTCTTCGATCCTTTCTCAATGGGACCTTAATGAAAGTGCCCTTCCTTCTACGCAATGATATTCCATACTGTCACTATTTGTCCATACCTCGCTGCACTTAC